GGTCCAGGATAAAATATAAAAGTAGTCAAGAAAGTATACTCACATATGTTAGAGGAAAAGGCAAGATTGGGCCTAAATGAAGAAGAAATATCAGTGGAGATAAAACGAAGTAACTTGAAAATTGTCTAAATAGTGTTCTATAGAGAGTGAATTTCTGACCGGCCTACCTAGGCAACAAAGTTAAGTTGCCACTGTTAAACTTACAACACATCAGTCGTTCTACCACTGGAGGGAGTCTGGTCACATATCCTTTGATGTGACTTTCACTCTAATAACTTTCTGGTCCTCCCTGGGAATGAATTAGAAACCTAACAAGTATATGAATTGGTTTAACACAATCTGATGGTTTTCAAATTTTTTGTTTCTTTTAGTTTTTATTTTATTTTTGTTTTGTTTCAAACTCACTAATATCTCTATAGTCATATTTGGGTCAAAGAAATTAATCCCCACGCTACATGTCCTAGTACATGTCTATCCTTGGAAAAAGTTAATAAAGAAAAACATTGTAAATTAAGAACAAAGAAGGGCTCTAAGGCAGACACCTACACAAAACAAGCATCAAGGTTACAAAGCACATTAAAAATAGCAAACAGCAGATTTGAACGAGAAACTTAAAACAATTATTAGGTCTAAGGTGATAAAGATATTACTGATAGGATGGTAAAAGAGAAATAAAAGATAATAGTACTATAACTGTGATTTCAAAATTTACTATTTAAAATTCAGAATTTATAGATTCCATTAATGACTCATGAATTTGAAGTGATTTCCTAACTAAATAACATGTAACTGAAATTATGAAAAATAACAACGACCTAGACACTAGCAACAAAATAAAGCTCAAAAAGCAGTGGTTCAACTCAAGAAGTTATGTGGATAATATTCCATTCACAATATTACTCTATATTTTGCATTAATATAAAGACTGGTAATAAAGTCTATGTAAGTAAGGCTTTACTTATTTCAACAATCCCACAGGATTGATATTATTATACCCACTTTACATAACAAAACTTGAGGCTAAAACAAATTAGGTAATTTGTTTAAGATTACATAGCTTTCAAGAGTCAATATTCTAACAAGGTTGTTCTAATCTAAAATGGTAATATCACTATGCTACATCACATGTCAGTGAGATTGACTAATGACTACCTTACATTCTTGTAAAAAAGACTATTAAAGGTTACAGTGATGGGTATTCCTCTTAGATGTCTACTTCAGAAAACGTCATTAAGGATTATCTAAAATCACTGTGCTACTAAGCATTCCTGTCACTTTATATTTCCAAAGTTAAAATTCGTTGAATTCACATGTCAATAGCAAAAATAAGGTCTTAATTGATTTCTAATTTAAAGAAATGTTTAACTCAACATTCAAAGAAGTTTATCTTTTTAAATATGTAAAATCGATAAAATCTTTTATTCCCCTATTTTTTTCCACATATTGTTAGAAACAAAGACAGGGAAATCCGTCAGCTTCTGTGTAATTTCTTTCCAATGTGTTTCCTTGCTGACTACATCATAAACCCTATGGTTTATACCATATCTGGGCAGTCATAAAGTGCTCTACTCATAGAAATAATGTTCGTTAAAGCTATGAAGACTTGAGAGTATATTTAAATGCTTTAAAACAAATTAATTTTGTATTTTCTTCCTTACTATATAACAAAGCTGGAGGGAGCTTAGATACATGTAAGTCAACATGTAGATAGATCTTTCGTGTTCAACAAGGAAGAAAAAGCATATATGTGTGTGTGTATGATTAAAACATGAAAAACACAAGTAATGTAAAATTCTGTGTGTGTGGGGTGGGGGCTGCTTTGTCTCGTCACAGGTCAGTGAATGTCTTAAGTATCGATTGAACTATAAATGGGCTCCCATATTATTAATGCTTCAAAACAAATTGTTTTTTTCCTTCAATTTTTTTGAAAAGTCATAATAAAAGTACATCATGTATGCAACTTGAGTATACTTCAACACAGCAGAAATGGAGAAACAGAAATACTCTACTTGCAATAGCAATAGAAACCCCTAGATCTACAATATTTTTTCAGAGTAACACCTGGGCAAGGACCAGGTACTGACAACCAAAGTACACATGCCTAGGAAAGACCATCCATGAGGTAGTCTGTGTGTGTGTGTGTGTGTGTAATAACTGTCTTGCTTAATTAAAAATCCAATTGTATGACCATGTGGAATCTAATCCATATTCTTCAGAAACTATTAAATATTTTTAGAAACTGTGAAAAAAATGAATTACTGCTGATAATGTAATCATCAGTTCATAGGAAAATAGGCAAGTAACAGACAAAAACAAAAAAAAGACCCAAGGAAACATAAGAGATATACAATTATGTTCAGCAGCAGGCATAGCTCTTGGTTGATACAGTATGAAAACATTATAAAATTAAAAATATCTGAGTGAAGAAGGTAAAAGAAAATGTACATTTAACAACCATGCTATACTTTCCTTTATTTTATTCCACTTCCAAAGAATTAATGTTTCTCTTATTTTTCATCAACAAATTAACAGTAGATTAAAATAAAGTGAGAAAAGAGCAAACTAAACAAATATAGTCTATCATAAATTATGAAATATAGCTCTTATTAGGTACTTAAATAGATCTTCTGTCCCATATTCTGCCACATCCTTTTCTATGTTACGTGTTTATAGAAGTAAAATAATGACACTTCAGAGGAAAGAAAGTGAAAGAAGGGAAGCAAAGGGAGTAAAAAGCATCTAGCTGAAAATTTCTCAATATAAAATGATGCTAAGTAAAGTCTGATTGACAAATTTAATGCAACATTTTATACACTGTTCTATCAAAAACAAACAACATTATCTCCCCTAAATTATTCCTATGAAGCCAAGTTAATATTTTTGGAATTGACATGTAAGATAGGAAAACAAAATAAGCATTTAACAACATCTCTTAAAAAAAACTTTCCAAATTTTATACATCTTCTAGTAGAAGTTAGCTCTTTGTATTTGTTGGTATATGCTGTTTTATAAAATAAAACCCTATTTAATTAGTCTATGTTAAATTACTTGGAAGTCTGCAAATAGAAATTTTCATAGATATTAGTGCCAGCACCCTCCCCAAAATTAAATGTTACATAATTTGTTTATTTTGTGGGATTCCTAATTTGAAAAGAAACAACTAAAAAATATTATCAGAATAAAATAGCTACTCCTCTAGGAGATCATAGTAAATATAACATTAATTTTCACACTCTATTAACTCTGTGAACTTCATAAAAAAGTTATAATTTTCCCTAATATCTTTGAAAGACATGGTAAATGCAGTTTTAAGCATTCAGATTACCAAGTTCTGAGAGCAACAATTAATGCATAGCTCCAATAAGGACAAGAATGAGCTTTTGATATATCATTGCAATAAATAAAAATGAAGTCTACTTTTATTAGTCTTGTTTTTCTCTCAAACCAATCTAAGAAAATAAAAATATTTACAATTTACAATGGTTACATTATAAAAAGTCATTTCATAAAAGTATAAACTAAAATCCAAATGATTTTCCATGTTATTAAAAATCTTTATAATCTAATGCAAGCTTACATATGAAATACCAAAACGATAAAATTTTTTAGATACCATAAATATGTGCACTTACTACCATGGTGACTAAAACAGTCTAAGAATAAAGGAAATACAAACTGCCTTTGCAAGTGTATGTATTTATTCACATACTACACCTGTTTCAGAAATTAAAGTGGCTCTGGTTTCAAAAAGTTTGAATTCTGGTTTCAGAATTATTAAATACAAATTTTTATTAATAAATATAAAAATAAATTCGATGCTCATTTGATATAAACATGCTGAGTAGCAATGTTTACCCGCGTTATTACCATTTAAATTATTTTTGAAACAAGACCTCTGCTCCCTATTTGGATTACTCTAATAAGTTTTATGACCTTATTGTGAGTGTATTAGTATCTGTACATAACTTTGGTTCAAAAATGCTTTGCAGTCATTACCTACATATACAGTTAATTTCTTTTACAGTCAAAAAGTATTCGGGGCTCTCTTGACAACATGTACACTGTGTTTCCTTTGTCAGATGTAGAATTTTACAATTATTAGGCCAACCAATTACTAATAAGACGATTTCTTTACAAATGAAGTTTTATTTCACATTACTGATATAGCAGACTCTAACTAGTCCAACTAACCCAGAAGCACTGTAACTAACCACACTGCACAGAGCACTAGCTTATGTATTCAACGCTCAGACCTGTGTTCAATCAATTTCCTCCTTCAGAAGCCTGCCAACTTTAACAACAGAATAAACGATATCATATCAACACGCAATTGTACATACTGGCCACATAGTCTGAATCACAGCACATACATTAGGTCAAACAGATTTTCGACAGTCTGAATCAGAGCCCAGAAAACACGAAGGTTGTGTCTGTCCTTGGTGCTGAAATGCACTGTTTTTCTGCTCCCTCAATGAAAAACCGTCATCCTAATCCCAATCTGAGAGGCTAAAAAGACTAGTTAATTTGGGGAGTCTGACGATGCGAGGTTTAAGAAAGAAAATGATAAGTTTCTGGAGGAGAATAGTAACTTGTGTGTGTGTGTTGGAGGAAGGGGGTTGCTAGAAACATCCCGAGGGCATTTCCCCTTCAGTGCCCGGAGACCCAGGAAATCCGGACTGCGGCAAAGATCGGAAACGCCTCGTCGGGGCAGGAGCCGCGACGGGAACGTTGCCCTCGCCCGGGTCAGGCGGTGAGGGCGGGGAAGGGCGCCACGGTGGTGGACGGCTACTTTCCGCCCTAAGGCGTGAGCCCTGGGGTCCTTTTGTTTCTGGGGTGAGGGGAGGACGGTGGGCGGAGGGTAACCAACATCTGCATTTATTTCCACAGAGGGGACAACAAAAGACCCTGTCGCCCTGGCAAGCGGCGTCGGCAGAGCCAGAGTAGCCCCGGCGCCTCGGGGTGGACTCGGTCCCTTCCCTCGCGGTCTCGGCCGCTCTTACCGTCCCGGTCGCATAGCTGAATGGCCTCCAGGCTGAGGTTTTTGATCACCTCCTCACAGGGGCTGGTGGGGCTGTTGAGGGCATGATCCAGGCGCGGTACCTCCATTTTTCCAACCCCCTTCTCAAGCCCGCCTGCTTCGTATCCAGGCTCTCTTTGCCGGCCCGGTGGGCAAGAAGGGCGGGAAAGGGAGGGGGAGTGGCAGAAGGAGGGAAGGACGCCTGGGACGCGGTGATGCAGCGCCGGGGCTGAGGCACGGGTCTGGAGAGCCGCCGCGAAGGCGACGGCTGTGGCAGGAGCTCCGGGGAGTGTGCGGCTTTGAGAGACCGAGCAGGAAACGGCGCGAGGACTGGAGGCGCGCGCTCCCGGCGGGGAGGGGACGCAGCGCGCGGGGAACGTGAGGAAGAGGGCACGACGCGCGCGCACGCGCGCGGGAGGACGCGCCCACCTGCTGGCGCGCGGCGGTCCCTCCCCCGCCCTTCTGCGCGCACGCGCCCCCACCTGCCCTCGAGCCACGGCCGAGGCAACCTCGCGCGTGACGCGTCGGGCGACTGAGCCCGTGAGAACTGCTGCGGGAGCTGTATGCAGCGCGGCTGCCTCGCCCTCCTTCCTGATGGTGGCGACTTAGTGTCTTCTGTTTGTTCTCGGTGTCTGGCTAAGCCCGAGTTGGCCCTGAGGGGTCTGCACGAGGAGGCGAGGGCGAGCAGGTTAGTTATTTTTCAAGAACAGGAAAATAAGGGCCCAGACTCTTTGGACTTTTTGTATGGTATTGGGGTGTGGGACCCACCTTCTCCCCTGAAAATCCTGGGATACTCGCTGCCCGCACCCTGTGGGCTCTGCCAGACATTCCTCGGAAACAGCTGCGTCTGTGGGAGAAATCAGCGGATTACCTGAGGCGTAGAGGGGTTTGGAGACAGCCTTTTGCCGTCCCTCGACCCTGAAGCGGGGCAAACGTGGGAACTCCTTACTGCCAGAAAGGTGAGGGAATGAGGAGATGCAGCAAGCCTGCTGAAAAGGCGGCAGACATGCTGCGGGGCCAACAGCCACCGGACCAATAGCTAGTAGCCTACCTTCACCCTGTAGCTTCATTCATTCATGCATTTAGCGAATAAGTATTCAGTGCTCACCCTGTGCCATTGTTCTGGGCGCTAATGAAGGGAGGATAAACAGCACCAACTCCCACGGATTTGGAAGGAATCTTTGCTACAATAGATAATGAAGATTGACTTGGGCTTCCTCAGTTACCCTAAACTTGTATCCCCGCTGCTTTTAAGTGCATTTAAGATTCTGCAGTGCGCTTAGTGGATGTGCAGACATTTTAAAAATAAAATAGAGGTCACAGCCCATGGACCTCTGTTCCCATTTGCTTCTTTGGAATAGTATTTAGTTTTGTTGCTATCTCGGGATCAAAACATAGTGTCCCCTTTTCTTAATGTGCTTGTAAATTAATATAAGTTCACTTTTATTGATTTTTCAGTTTCAAACATAAATGTTAATCAAGAAGTAACAGCTTACCCTTACATGGCTGTATGCTACCCTTTCTAGTCACATCCATTTAGCCATAACATGATGAGGTCTGGTTAATTGAAGCTTCCGTAAATGAAAGGACCAGCTTAAAGTAAAATAAGCCTGTGAAAAATCTTGACATAACTGAAGTTTCATAATTTGGTGAAAGGTAATTAGGTATCCTAAAGTGAAAAGTCTTCATTATGAACTTAGGTATTAATGAAGATGGATGTTTTTGAAGTTTGAAAGAATTCTTGTTTAAAGGTAAGGGTGTCCCCAAGGAGAGGGTAAATTATTACCTGTCAAGGGATATGACAAGAGAGTACTTGTGAATTTTCTGTGTTCGAAAGTCTGGCTCTATAAAGGACTAGAAATTGATATTGTAAGCCCAACAGTGCATTCATCTTTCAGAGCAGTCTCAAATTTCTAAATATCAAAAAAGAAACTGTGTAAACTAGAATAACAATTTACTGATTTAAAAGTAAGAAATATGCATTTAATTAAAACTCATACAAATATTTATTAAGTACCTATATCCAGGACACTGTGCTCTGTGTTGGAAATTTGGAGTTCAAATTTATCAAGAAAGATAGTTATTAAAAAGTAAAAGTAGGATAGGAGTTAAGAAAGAGGAAGTATGTAAGCTTGGAGAAACACGCACAGGGAGTATAACTTAGACTCAATGGTCAGGAAGACCTCTAAAATGATTTTATCTGCAGGGAATGAGAAATTATTAAAAGACTTTAAATAGGAAATTAGCATGATCAGATTTGTCAGCTAGAATATTTGTGTCATCAGAAAGGGTAATGTTTTGAGAAGTATTAATGTCACTTTCTGGGTATACCACCTATTCAATCCAAGGCACCTTTCTGTTGAGTATTTGAATTCTTATAGAAAAAATATGAAAGAAATATTTACCATTTACCTTTCAGTATTCAATATAGGATTTTTTAATCAAGTTGTTAGGCTTCAAATCCAGGCATTGTCAAGAAGTAAAATGCAAATTTGTTTATGGTTCAACATATCAAGGCTAGGCCTGGTGGACCAAATGATAGAGTTTCTCCCATAGTGAAGACAAGATATCTTAGTTCACTGTAAAGGGTTTGACCAGAGATTGATACGAGGAAGGTGGTGGCTATGAAGTAAAGTAAAGTTGAAGAAAATCCTATTCTCTTTGGCTCAGAGAATTATGGGAAAGGGGTAGAAAAGCTCAAGAAAGGCAACCAGAAACATTTTTACTCATTCCCACCCTGAAGATGTAGAGTAAGAGGTTGTGGCTTTAGAAATACCCAGATTGATGTAGGAAAACTCAAGGACAGAGAAATTACTTTCCCAGTTCTCAGATACCTGGGAAGGTATCAGACTGAGCAGAAACCACATTCTAGTAACCTTGAACAGGGCAGAGACAGGTTAATTGTTGACTTTTCAGAGTGCTCTAAGTTCCTGTGTACTATTGAAATTCAGAAAACAATACCCATCTCCTCACAAAGAAGACCTCAGAAGTAAAAGTTTTTCCTCTCATCTTCTGACCTCCAGCTTCTCAGTCTAATTTTCCCCTGAGACTAGCTATAAGAAACTAGAATCCCTGTTCCCCAAGGTGGGTTATAGAAACCACGACTCCCTTTTCTTCAAAGCCAGCCGTAAAATCCAAAAATATTACTCTAACTTTTCTTCTGCTTTTCTGTGTAAAAACTGGCCATAAAGAAATTATCTTATCTACCTTGTTTAGCTGAAGGTCATAAGATCCCCATTCCAGAGAGGTCCCTGCCACACATAGTCAAAAGGAAGAAGTGCATGCTCAGAGAGGTCAAGAAGAATCTAGATAGGCAGGCCTTTCTGGGTTTTCCCACTCAGTCCATTAGTATTAGGTCATATCTCTTTTGTCCAGTCATATTTCTTCATGACTGTTCATACCTTGTTGAACCTAAGTATTAAAATGGACAACTTTCCCTGTATCTTTGGGTCTTCATTTTGAAGACCCCCCCGGTGTTGAAAATGTGGTGTTACAAATTTCTTTGATCTATGTGAAATTTGATGCTTTTTCTCTTATTAATCTGCCACTTATCAGTGATTTTTAGCTAACCTTCAGAGGGCTAAAGGGAAGTGTTCCCTTGGCTCCAAGAGTACTCAGAAGGTGGGTGAGTTGAGAGCTATCCAATCTTCCCTGAAGTTTTCTGTTAAAAGAGCAAGGTAACCTTTCAGTTAAGCAAAGACTATGGAGTAGCCCTTCTAGACCAGGGATGTCTAAAGTACCAAAGAGATGAGACATGTTAGTCAGAGGTGGCCACTAGGCCCTGACCAAACTAAGAAAGGACAGACCATGAGTTTCTCTAGCTACCAACTTCAAGTGAAAGAGCAGAAGCAGCTAGACATACAAGGCCTCCTCTGGCCTCAGAGACCAGAGGAGGCAGAAGGAACCGTTCAAACCTAATGACCCTTTGTCCCAATGCCTCAAGTAATGGTATCTAGGGCTATCTGATATTCCCAGATACTACCTAAGATAGGATGTAGGGGAAAAGATAAAAATCTTAGAGACTTGAGGGTCTTAACCTAATGAACCTGAACTTTCAGGAACTGCTTAAAATACTGAATGAATCCAGGTGTCTGGGTTAGAATAAAAATATTTTATTTGTCCTCTCCTATTTGTCAGTGACTGAGATTTCATGAAGATGATCAAATAAGTTTAAACAAAATGAAAATTCTACCATTTTTGATACCTAATCGTTAGCTTGAGATGTCTGCTATTACAATCAAAATCCTGTAAGTCATTCAAGCTCCAACTCATATGTTACATTCTCTTGAAATGATTCCCTCTGTCAAAAACCTTTATGTTGTATTTCTAAGGGGCTTTATTTATAGTTCTCTTACAGACATCACGTTATGATTTATAAATTATTAATGTACATGAAGAATCAGACTCATATTTTAGGACCTTAAATATATCTTATCTAATACCTTATCCAGTGGCCAAGCCCTTGATGAGAAGTTAATTATCTCCTAATAAATATTAAATTAAAATCCCCATGAAGAAATCCAAAGTCTTCCTCATTCTGAGCCCAAGCATGTCTCCTATAAGAGCTACAAAGGCCTTAATTTTCCCATTTGTTCATAATACAAAATAATAATCCTTCCTATTATCCATATATATTCAATTATCTGCCTAAATACTCTTAGTTCTTGCAAACGTCTGTGACATCACATTGTTTTGAGTCCCTCTGTCACTCTGCACACTCTTCTAGATAGCTCCAATTTTTCTGAGTCCATAGATAAACACACAAGGTGTGGAAATATAATAAGAATATAAACGAAAACACAGTGGACTAACACCATCTTTGTTGTATGTGCCAGACATCTTGTAATGCAGCCCAGGAGCACATTAGTTTTTTTGACAGTAATATCGCTCTGCTCACACATTCTGAGCTTGCAAACACATAAAAATCCTATACCTCTTCCATGAACATTTCTTATTTCTCTGTGATATTGTAAACTTTAAGCACATATTATAGTATCTGCAAAGAGAAGATGCTTAGGAAAATTTGCTGAATTATTTTAGTGAACTTCCATACTTTGAATGTATTTAGTTATATTGTTAGTTACATTGCTTCAGCTGGCCTAGGATTTTATCAAAGTAGGCCACATAGTCCTTTTGGTAGTCTAGTGCATAGGTCCATCTTATTCATGTAAATGTCCCAGAACTCCAAGCACAACCAAGGATTTTATGACTAAGCAGAGGGTGCCAAGAATCAAAACCAGATAGAAACAAACTCCACAAAATGCATAATAAATGAGTGCTTATTTTCTCTCATAACACTATGGAAAGTTTTCCTAAGCTCTATTATAAATGGCATGGCAAAGGAAACCTCATAATTGACAGAAACACTGTTGAAAGCAATTCAAATATTTTAAATTGTTTGTCTTCACTCAAGTAGTGTTGAGACTTGTGATGATCAAGTAACATAATGCATATAAAAGTATTATTATGAACTGTAAAACACCCCAAAAATTCAGGATATTGTTACTGTAGGACACCAAAACTCCATTAAGAAAGGACATTTGGTCAGTTTTGCAGTACAAATTTATGGAAATATTTTTATTACTTTTTCAAAACTGAGAACTTTTTTATTTAGAGTATGGTTTAATGTGTTGAGGCTTTTAAAACACAAAGATGGTTAACATACACAAATCAATAAATGTGATGTAGCATATTAACAGACTACAGGACAAAAACCATATGATCATGTTAGTAAATGCAGAAAAAGAATTCAACAGTTATTTAACATCCTTTCCTGATGAAAACTGTCAACAAATTAGGCATTGAAGGAATACACCTCAACACAATAAGACCATATATGGCAAGCCCATAGCTAATATCATGCTTATGGTGAAAAATTGAAAGCTTCTCCTCTAAGATCAGGAACAAAATAAGAATGCCCATTCTCACCATTTATATTCAACATATTACTGGAAATCCT